TCATACGTAGAAGATGCTCTGGCGTATTGCATCAATGAGATATATAAATTCCGTATGCAGATGATGAAGGTATATTGCTGCATAAGTAAGGGAAGTTGGCGATAGAAAAGTTAAGTCATCACGTTTATTATGAAACTTGGATGTTAGATTCCCATTAACGTCTTTTACAAGTAAAATGTCCAAATACGAAGCAGATGTATTAGACTCTTTGGTATCTTTTATCTCAAGCTCACCGGGTTATATCGTACTGACATAAGAATGGAAATTACAATTGTTAATTGATAATACGTCGTCAATATATCTAAATGTCGAGGTGACGACCACAGGTAGTGTTTTTTTTTCTTTTCAAACATGAGATTTTGCACAAATTCTATTTCATATGAATGCAAGAATAGGTCTGCTATATTACAGAGTGCAATTGGTACCCTCGGGAATTCCAATATATTGTTGGAAGACCTGGTTTTCCAAAAACCACATAGATATTGTCAATCAGAAATTCAAGGATCTTTTTGATGTCAACTTCAGAGTACTTGTGTATACAAAATGTCTTTCAACAAAATGATTTTGCAAATGACCAATGATAAGGTAAGTAAATTTACACGTCCCATTTTTAATGAAAAAGCAGCTGTCGATGATATGAAAAACCCTGGACTTTAATTTATCGTGGGGAATGGTTGTGTGTAAAGTTTAAAAGTCATAAGTTTAAAAGCTGTTGATTTTGGTAAAATCTTATGATTTCAAATTTTCCAAAAGTTCTTTGGAATTTTTAAGTATCCACATCTGATTTACATTATTTCTTGAATATAATGTTGCACAGTACTCTTGAAGTTTCTCCTTCACTACTGTTAACATCTTTATAAAGTTTTGGAATACATTATAGATATCGTAGTTCGAATTCATTTGGGTTCTTTGGGATATTAAAAATATTCAAAATTGACATTTGAGTTTGAAGACCGTCTTCCTTAGAAGGGGAACTATGACTATAAGCTGGATTACCACTTGTAGAATTAAATCCAAATTCCTCTCAAATACAATTTATATAAGGAGCCTTACAAACAAAAACAATTTTGTTATCTGCTTTGTCTGCAAAGACCAGTAACTACTGATCATGTAATGTATCTATTTCTCTTCTCACTTCTAGATTATTGAATACAGATGTATAGATGGTTTTCATATATTGCTTCTCAATCTTTTAATATGCTATTGTAAAATGGATCTTATACATTTAATCCATTCTTCTACATATCTGGCCCATCGCTAGGCATAATCTTCTACAGAATCCACAAAATATATGAAATTCTGTCGCCAGTGAAAGGATTGGGGTTCCGTATGTAAATTTGAGACATTTTAAAATATTTGTGATCTAAGATCCTTACTATTAATTATATTTACGTCATCTTTTAAACATGTCCAGCCATGCAATATTTATAGAGTGAATAAGAACATGAACACGACGGAGGATTATGTTACGAATGCAGAACTCCATGAGAAGGGAAACATAGACGGCATGAGAACTTTACTTATAAAACGGAGATGGCGACTGAAAGGGCACGTGTTAAGAAAACCAGCCAATAACATCAGCAAAGTAGCTCTTAAATGGACACCAGACGGGAAGAGGAAATCTGGTTGGCCAAAGAACACCTAGTGAAAGACTGTAGAGAAGGAAATGAAAGACCGTAAACTAACTTGAGGAGAAATGGAGAGAAATGCTCAAGATAGAGAGAAGTGGAGAAGTCTAGTCCTTGAAGTGGGCAAAACAAGGATTAGCTGCAGCTGAAAAACATCATGATTTTAGAAAGAAACGATAAAGTGAATGCTTTTGAGCTCTTGATTTTGTGATTTCAAATTATCCAAAAGTTCCTAAGAATTTTTAAGTATCTGCATCTGATTTACACACTTCTTGAATATATTGTTGCACAGTACTCTTGAAATTTCTCCTTCACTACTTTTAATATCTTAACAGGAGTCGCCCGCGTGGCGCAGTGGTTAGAGTGCCTGCTCTAGAGTCACGAAGTAAGGAGTCGATCCTTATGTCCCAGGTTCGAATCCCACTGTGGGACGTGGAGACTGAGACTGAGCCTTCGGATGAGACCGTATAAACCGGGGTCCCGTGTCGCAGTAGGTGCTACATGAAAAAGATTCTTCACTGCTCAATGGCCCTAAGTGCCGAGTACAGGAGTGAAAATTTCTCGAGAGGGACATAAAACAACATACAATCAATCAATCTTAGAGAGTAAAAAGAGGCTTGATTGAACATTTACTGGAACTCGTTATTTATCTTTGTTTGTAAGGATTTTTATGAAGTTAATTATGAAACAGGAAGATCGGCAGTCTCGTTTAAAGTCATCATTTCGTAAGTCCAGTGGTCGATACAATGACTTTGTCAGCAAATACAATTTATCATTGAGTCAAATGTTAATTGATGTTTTTCATACTAATTTTTTAGTCTATTTACACGCTGAATTGACGACGGATTTTTCCGTGTGACCGCTCACTTCTCGCACCTGATCCAACCTCTAATATTTTGGACGTTTATGTTTGTTCTGCTCCTATTTCGTATTGTTTTATGGACTTTTGATTTTAAATACTGTTCGTTTTCTCCATTTGTTTCATCGCGTCGACATATGAGTGAAAATAACTATTCTTAATTGACTATAGAAATTGATGAAAGAAAGATGACATGTCTTTGAAAAATATGCTATAGTTCGATCAGACATGACTTTTAGCAAAATCTTTGTAAGGCTCATTATTATAACTGTATTTTAGCAGAACCTGGATTTAATTTTACGTCTGGAAATCCAATTTATGCTCACATTTCATTTTCAAAGGATGAAATTTTTAAAAATCACATTTTAGTCTTTAATATATTTAACATCCTGTTCAAATTACAATACCTATGTTGGTTCCTTAAACTTCATAAAAATCCTTACAGACATTTCCAGGTCCAGTAAACTCTTTCAAGCCCCATCCTTACTCCTCACAAAAATATCTCTTGAAAACGAGAAATTTCAGATGTACTGTTCTACAGCATATTCTAGAAATGGTGTAAATCCGATCTGGATTCTGAAAAACCTCAAAGATCATTTAGAAAATCTGAAACCAACAAATTTTTCAGAATTTTTCTTCAAAACAACTTTTCTACACTTTTACAACAATTCCTCGCGATGGATTAAAATCTAATAATTTTTTATTTTAAACATAAGTGCTTCTTCAGTAAAAAAGGAACCTGGAAATTTTCATACATTGTGCTCAATGGTCATAACAGTAGAATTTTCTTAAAATTCACCCTGATTCTACATAAAAGAATGAAATATAATGGAGATAACGAAGAGTATTCAAGATCAAAAGTCCACAAAATAATACAAAATAGGAGTTGAGCGCTCACGGGCCTTCAAAACATCAGAGGTGGGATCAGGTGCCATGGGGGATTGAGCATCCCCTGCCGACCGGTCACTCCCGTCATGTGCTCCTTGTGATGATCGGAAAATAACGGAAAAATCCGTCCTCAATTTAGTTTACAAATATTAAACTAACAATTAGTATGAAAAATGCCAGTCAGCATTTGACTCAATGATAAATTGTATTTGCTGACAAGGTCATTGTATCGACCATAGAACTTACGAAATGATGACTTTAAACAAGACTACTGATGTTCTTATTTCATAACTTGTTTGTCAATAACTTTTGAAATTTTACATACGTAGAGCATGTTCTTGCGTGTCGTATCAATTGAGATATTTTAACTCCGTATTCAGGTGATAAAGGCATATTGCTGCATAAGTAAGGGAAGTTGACGATAGAAAAGTTAAAGTCATCATGTTTATCATATATAGCCTGGTTGTTAGATTATCATTAATATCTTTTTCAAGTAATATATCCAAATATGAAACAGATGTGTCAAACTTTGTGATGTGTTTTATTGCAAGCTCACAAGGATATATTGTATTGACTTAAGAATGGAAATTACAATTGTTAATTGACAATGCCTCGTCGATATTCTAGTATCTAAATGTCGAGTTGAAGGCCACAGCAAGTGTTTTCTTCTTTTCACGCATAAGATTTTGCACAAATTCTGCTTCATATGAATATAAAAATAGATCTGCTTATAACGGGGAGCAATTGGTACTCATGGGAATTCCAATAGATTGTTGCAATACCTGCTCTCCAAATACTACATAGATATTGTCAATCAGAAACAGCATCTTTTTGATGTTGACTTCAGAGTACTAGAGTATACAATCAAATTTTTTTATAACAAAATAGTTTTGCAACTGACCGATGACAAGGTAAGTAAATTAATGTTCCATTTTCATTGAAAAAGGCAGCTGTAAATGATATTGAAAACTCTGTACTTTAATTCATCAGGGGAATAGTTGCGTATAAAGTTGGAAAGTCGTAAGTTTTTAAGCTGTTGATTTTTGTAAAATCTTGTGATTTCAAATTGTCCAAAAGTTCCTTGGAATTTTTAAGTATCCACATCTAATTTACACCACTTCTTGAATATATTGTTGCAACTCTTCTCCTTCACAACTGTTAATATCTTAATGAGAAGTAAGGAAAGAGGCTTGGTTGAACATTTACTGGAACCCACTCTGTATCTTTGTTTGTAAGGATATTTTTGAAGTTTCGGAATCCAATTTATACTAGTATAACTAGTATATGGTTGTTCGAATTCACTTTGGTTCTTTGGGATAGACTTTCTTTTTTTTTTTACACAATCTCCATTTCTCAGCAAAGTTTGTTGAAAAAAAAAGTGTAAAATTAAAAATATTCAAATAACGATACAATGACCTTGTCAGCAATCGAATACAATTTATCAATGAGACAAATGCTGACTGATGTTTTTCATACTTATAGTTAGTCCATTATTTATACACTGAATAACCGACGGATTTTTCGGTTGTTTCCCGATCATGACAAGGTGCACACAGCCAGTGTGACCATTCGGCAAGGGATACTCACTCCTCCATGGCACCTGATCCCACCTCTTATGTTTTGGAGGTCCTTGTTTGTTCTGCTCCTATTTTGTATTATTTTATGGATTGTTGATCTTGAATACTGTTCCTTATCTCCATATGTTTCACCGTATATGCAAATTACATTTATTGTATATTGGTTATATTTTTATAGATATTTACATGGAAATGAATTTTATTCCAAAAATAAGCATAAGTATTGTTTTATGGTTTAATTATATATTTATTTCTTTATCATGAATTAAACATACATCATGTTAAAGGCCTATCCATTCATTGTTAATTAACAGCGTGTATGATTATACTTTATGGTGTTTTTACCCTGTTGTAAAAAAAATCTATGAATTAAGTGTTAAATTCTGATATGATTTAACATTTATTTCTTGATAATGATGAGAATCTTCTCCATTCTTCGACATAGTTTTCATTTCTGTTCCAGTATAACGTGTATTTTTCCTTCCAATTATTTTCCACCAGGCCATTATGCGATGTCTAAAATATATAAGGAAAAATATTTTAATACAAGAAATGCGGTGGGTGTGACCGGTCAGCAGGGGATGCTAACTCCTCCATGGCACCTCTGATGTTTTGGAGGTCTGTATTTGCTCTGCTCCTAATTTTTATTGTTTTATGGACTTTGAGATTGAATACTGTTCGATATCTCCATATTTTTCCTCTATAATTAACTACATTTAGATGCGTAGCGAATAAATTTGAATTCTTCAATTGTTTTTAATGTGATAATGGTAATAGAGACTTTTGACAATATGTCTCAGTATAAGATTTGATATATAATCTTATAATCACCTGAATGATAAGAAGCAAACAGAGAGTCCTGTGATGTTTAATATGGCGGAGACAGTGATGACTGTTATTACTGCTGGGGAGGGGCCATCATGTCCACAGTCTACCTCCGTATACGATACAAGGACTTCATTTAAAGAGAAAAAATATGTTGTCCACTAAAGATAAGATGTTATATCATAATATAATCCATTTCTTAATGAATAAAATATATTTTAAACTAAAGATAATATAAACACATAATGAATAAGTATTTAATACAAGAGGCCCATAGGCCACATCGCTCACCTGAGCACTTTGGTCGGGAAGAAGCAGAAATCTGTTCAGTTTTGAAAAGTTTAAATTTATTATAAAAGTGTTCTCGATATTTGATCTATTGAGGCCTTCCCCTAACCCAGAGACCTGATTTGAATTTTAATGTACACCACCTGAGAATGCTTCTGAATAATTATGATCATGGCTTTGCTGCTCTTGAGAAGAACATTTTTGTATTTTCCTTTGTTTAACGTTGATCCCACGTTGTGGGTCACGCCTATCTAAAGGGGTCATGATTTGAAAAAAGATGAATCTTCACTATGTTACGATGCTTCAATAAAAATATGACCAATCATGGCTTTTCTGCTCTAGATAAGATTTGAAAATATTTTCCTATGTATAAACATACCTATGAAGCAGAATTTGTGCAAAATCTTATGCGTTAAAAGCTTAGCTGTTCTTGAAGATTTTTAAAGATTTCTCAAGTGCATTTCTGAGTAAAAAATCGATAATTTGACATCATACTCCCCTGCTACTCAAAGAACCATGATTTGAACAAATTAGAACCACTACCTGAGGATGCTTCCATATCAATATAACTAATTATAGCTTTGCTGTCCTCGATTTTTCAAGATTTTTTCCATGTATTGCCTACGAAAATGTTGATCCCCCTTTATGGCCCCAACCCTACCCCATTGGTCATGGTTAAAACAAACTTGAATCTGCACTTCACGTGGATGCTTTAAAATCGATATGATTAGAATTTTTAAAGCATTTCCCTATCTATTTCTACGTAAACGTTTGATCCCCCATTGTGGCCACACCCTTCCCCTAGGGATTATGATTTTATGAAACTTAAATCTACTCTACCTAGGGATGCCTCGACATCAATATGACCAATCATAGCTTTGCTGTTCTTGAGAAAAAGATTTTTGAAGATGTTTTCTTAAATATTCAAATGTACATGTGATACTTTGATCCAAAATTGTGTCCCCAACCTACACTCGTGGGTCATAATTTAAATAAGTTTGAATAAACACTAAATACAGAAGGTTTCATATTAATTTAATTTTTCACTAGTGGTTCTTGGGAAAAAGATTTTTAAAGGATACTCAAAACAGTTCACTATTTATAATCTCCATTTGGAAGAGGGCGTGGTACTTCAAAGGAGGATGCTTTGTGGCAAGATTGATTAAAATATGCCCAGTGGTTCTTGAAAAGAAGTTGAAAATGTAAAAAGACAGGCGGACAGCTAGACAGACAGATAGACGGACGACGGGCAAAATGTGATCAGAAAAGCTTTCAGCTCAGGTGAGTTTATATAATTAAAAATGTGAAACGTTTTATCTAAAAATCAGAAATAAAAATTAAAGAAGTTTATTTCACCCTGATGATCACAGATGATCCCGCTGTAGGACCCCTGACAGCCTCCATCACACGTTCCTTCAAATCTGTTACAGGTCTCATTTTTGACACAGTTATCGCTACACTGGAAACCGCAATCCACTCCAAAGAACCCGTTTGGACACTCTTACAGAATAAAGATACAGCATGCTTTATACTAAATGACGTAAACACAACATCAAATACAAGAAAATTTATTTTATTTTCAGGCATATAAACCGTTTTTAAAAAATCTTTCTAAAAATGTTCATCATGTCAATGGCTCCTTGTTATTCCGATACCTGTATTACAGGTTGGAGGTTCCATCCATCCAGAGGCACACGAACAGAAACCATCAATGTGGTTACAAATTTCTACACATCTATAAGAACAGGTCTTCTTACATTTCATTCCATAGAACCCAGATGTACAAACTTAAATTAAAAGTTTAGATCTTAATTAAGCATTAATAATGATTATTGCATTTTTCCCTTTTTGATTGTCAAGTTGATAATTGCTAATTACTGAACTTAAAAGATTAGGATTGCAAAAAGAGAAAATGGTCGACCTGCACATACTGTTAAAACACTGTGTGCCTTGATACCCGGCTACACAGCCGTTTGTACAGACTCCGTCCACATGATGGCAGCTCTGGTTATGTAGACAATGACCACTGCAGGTGTTTACACAACGCATCCCAAAATAACCAGGTAGACACTCTATTGTAATGGGAGAAACCAGAGAAATATAATAGATCCCTCTGCAATTATAAGTATATCTCGAGAAACACCTCATCAACTGTTTAAGAACACGTAATATAGAGTACATTGTAAATATTGAAGACATATCATAAAGTAATGTCGCTTCAAGAACAGGAGCTGTTAGCATATCAAAGAGAAAGCATCAAAATATAATGGAGAAGTATCATCAGGACAGATGGCCATGGGTCGTTCCATAGTTGCGTTTTGACATTGGGCGTGTATTGTGGCTTAATGTTACTGTAAATCACTTTTTATTCACGAAAACTTTTTTTAGCTTAAAAATAGGGATGTCAACGAGTACCCGGTTAACCGGGTACTCGATCGAACGTCCGAGTATCGAATACTAAAATCGGTACTCGGTTACTCGGATGTACATTTTTAAATAATTCTAAGCTTATTTATTAATGCATTAAAATATCGGTTTTAAATGTAAAATGTTCATTGCACTTGTACATACAGTAAACAGGGTTTCCTGAGCCTCTAAATGACCGTTATCGCCTGTGGCAGTGTTTATACAGTAATTACCGTGACCAAGCACCTGCTACCTGGCATTCTCACCGTCGGCTGTCTTCTACCCTTATGTTTAGTTAAGGTCTTCCGTTTCCAACGGAAGACCTTCTACTGATTCTGATGGTAAAGATTATTTCTTTTTTTTTCTTCTACTTCCTAGACCGCAACTTTGAGGCCTCATATCTCACTAATTTCTCAACGGATTTCGCTCAAATTTTCAGAGGTTATAGACGTTTATAAACTCAATCAGAATGAGGACTAAAATCTCAAAAAGTCACTTCCGGTTTTGAGTTATTTTCCTTTAAACGAAAATTTATAGGCTTTCGTTTCCAGACAAAGGCTCAGAGACGGCTAAAGCTGGAGCAGAAATTCTACTGATTTTAGATAACAGAAAGATTGAAGTTGTGCACATCGGTTTTTGTTTTTCGATTTCTCTATCAAAATGGCGCTATATAGGGGTCAAAAATTAGAACGCTTAAAAGAACCAAAAATTACTCATATTTTGCTTTTTGTCTTCTAAACTAAAAATATTTTGTTAATATATATATAGAACATAATTTGTGCAGAATTAGAAGATCTTTCAAATGATATGTCGGAAAACGGGCTGACCCCTAAATTAAGGGATTTAGAGGGGCCAAAAGTTTTTTCCAGATATCTCAAAAAGTATTGAGAATTTGTTATACATCAAAGAAGCAAAGTTGTTGAAAATGTCAAGCTTAATCTGATGGAGTCGTGAAAATACGTCCAGCGTCGTCACTTCCGGCCAAACCGGAAGTAGTCGGAAAACGCGTATTTTTCCCCTTTTTGACAAGTTTTTTTGGTAACATGTGTCTCTAGGAGCTTACAAATTAATTTTCCGTGCGTCGTAGTCACTTCCGGTCAAACCGGAAGTAGCAAAAATGGCTTATTTTTGCATTACTTAACATAGCTTTAGAGGATTCAAAGCATTTTTGGGCGTTATTTCTCATTTTTGTGATAAATGAAAGCTACTTCCGGTCAAACAGGACGGAAGACCTACTCGTTGCTTTGCAACGAGCTTTGCTCTAGTTTGTTCTATAATTATTTGTTTTCATTGAACATCGTTTAAGGTCTATTATGTTTAATATTAATTAGATAATTTTGTCAATTCTCCAGAAACCGTAGATACTCGGGGAAAGAGACAGACGATATTGCGCGTGCGATTGTTGATATGGATGCGTTTGATTACGTGCCAATTAATGCAAATTATTGAATGCAAAGGTTTTAAAAATTTTATGTCCATCGTTGCACCAAACTACAACATATCGTCTCGTAATTTTAATGAAATCAATGATCGAAAAGTGTACGAAGATCGTAAATCCGCTCTGTTAGAACTTGATCAAGTTGATACTGTACATGTATAGCTCTGACGACTTATCACTTGGACGTCAAACACATTGATAGAGTTACATTACAATTAGGGAACAGATTATTTTTTAAAACAAAACCATTGTGAGCCATTTATGATTTTATATCTCGTATTTATCTGATAAATAAATTGGACTTGAAAAATGTTAGATTAAATTTCGTCGGGCACAAAGTGGTCATAATTGTTACAACACAGGTTACGGTAAACCTCCCATCAGACCATGTGGTTTTATTTCAATGTTTTACAGTTATCAATTAACTTGTTCATATTTATTTAGACTTTTACCGAGTACCTGGGTACTCGATCGGAAAAACGTCCGAGTAACCGAGTATTAAAAATTGACCGATTTGACATCCCTACTTAAAAATCTATATATTTGTATCGGTAAGGATTATGAACGATAATCACAGCAGATGGCGAAAATTTAAAATTTAGTCTCCCTTATACATTTAAATACCAGATACAGTTATCTCAAAAGTATATAGTGATCTACAATACTCCAGGTTGGGTTAAAGGTGCATGGACATATTTTTTGAATGGGGAGTTTATTTTAATTAGCAGATTATTAATAAATAGGTAATCATTACACCTGTATCACAAAGGTCCCCTGTATAACCCGGAGCACAGCCACTGTCACAGTTCCCGGTCACTCTGTTACACGAGGCACCATTGAAGCAGTGTCCACTACAGGTGTTCACACAGTTAGGTCCGTAAGTACCCGGGTTACAGTCTGAAGGAAAGCGAGGATAATATTTTTAAAAAAAATAAATAATGATTTCTAATTAGAGAAATGTTAATCACATACGGATGACATTTAATATTGGTTGATATACTCAAATTTAAAAAGGATTAGTATTCATCTATTTCTAGTCTGATTAAAACCAACCCCCTTCTCTTTGAAAGGACTGTGAAAGATCTCAACCCCCCTTCTATTTGTTTAAAATTCATTGCCTATGAATCAAATTCTTTTGATATGATATGTTTAAACACAAAATGACTTATATATACCGGTAATAATTTTGATTTACTGCACCGGGCGAAATGCATGAAACCCGAAGAACAAAATAACAAACAAATAAAAGTAACACTCTCAAATATTTCTTATGAAAAAATGATAAAAATTAAGAAAATAATAAGTTCTTTAAACGAGCAAAATCCAAATCATGACAAGGCCAATAATCTTTTACATGTATTCTCTGACTGATTTTCTGACCATGCCAAGAAATCTCGTCCGATTTCGACAGCGATGGAGTCAATAAAAGTGTAATTGATGCAAATCACCCATATTCCCAAAACGCCAGCAAGACAATTTACGGCAGCAGACTTTTGGGGGGTGGATCCTAGGTTTTAAGCTTTCTTAGTTAAAGAAAAAATAAACTTCTACCCCAGGAAGTAGTACAAATACCCTAAAAAGTTACTGTCAAATATCTTTATTTTCAAAATCCGTTTATTTAAAAAAAAATATATTGGACTGAAGAAAATAAGAAAAAAACAATCAAAAGAAAATATTCACTTTAAAATGAAAATATACACATAGCCAATCGGGTAACGTCTACCCATTCAGTACTCGTCTCCATCTTGTTCAACCAGGAAATGATGTAAACTTCCGGAAATTTGGTACTCTTTTATCTATATTTCGACGCGGTACTTCCACAACTACCCGATGTCAATTTATTTGTACTGAGAAAAAATATTTTGAAATTGAATTACGTAAAAAAAATTGAAAGGCAGCTTATTTTATTAAAGAATTACTTTACTATAATTATTTGCATTACCCCCCCCCCACCCGAAAAAGAAAGGGGGGGGGGGGGGGGAAAGGCTTCTAAATAACTAGTATTCTACCTATAATTTTAACCCAGTAAATTTTAAGATCCCTCCCTTAAAACTGCAGACATTAATTGTTTCCGCGCGTCTCCCAGGGGAAGAATCACAGATTAATGTTAATTCGGCTTTTATTGAGTTTGCTATACGGAGAGAATGCTAAGGTTTTCTTGGCATGGAGGAGGGGGCTGGTTTTGATAAGAGTGATCTATTTTATATTTGGATATTTTACTGACTATTGAGGATAAGGGCTAACTATTAACTTAACTGAACTAAACTGTATCAAACAAAATGACTTCAGTTTTTGGTGTTAAACTTTTTTGATAATCGAGAACATGCTCTGCAAGGCATTTTTTGAACCAAAAGAGGCTACTGATAGAAAAGTTGATGTTACAGCATTTAAAGCAACACTCTTTAAATTTTTTTTTTAACTTTTGAATAGTCTTCTTGAAAAGGCCAAGGAAAGTACATTTTTTTTTATTCCTCGACACCAGAATCGAATCTATGATTATGGATATTGCAAATCATAGGCTTTTTAAACCCGCACGTTTTACTGAAGAAAATGCCGCTAAAACAATCCGTCTTTTCCTTAAACTTGAATATGCAAATGAAGGAGTTGACGTAGTTAATATAAGTAATATTCTTAATAACAAAAGTGTTCAGTTCTGTATTCCACCATATTTCAAGTTAAAGACTACACCTTGTATTTCCTACAAATATACATCGACCATTACTTCCAAACTTTTCAATTACAAAACAATTTTACATTGCCTTGCCTGGAAATCGAGTATCTGAGACAAAATTCTCCATCGTGTTCTTTTTTGCCCCATAACTGTAGTCCTACTGGACACGTTAATACAGATGACGTAAATATAGTTAATAATAAGGACCATATATCACTTTAGTTATCTTAAAGGGTCTTAAATATAGGTAAACCCCTATCCTTTATAAACAGCTGTTTTTTGTTTTTTTTTTAAAAACGTAACTCCTTATTATAATTACCTTGTCAATGGTCGTTCTCAAAATTATTTGGTTTCAAACATTCTGATTGTATACACAAGTGCTTTGAGTTATTAAAAGTTTCTAATTGATAATTTGCCCATTTACCCGATCTTGACAACAACACATAGGGGGTGTGATCGATTGACATGTGATGCTTACTCCTCCATTTAACATTGAGTCAATCGCTTACGTTTTTTCAAACTATTTTTATGCCATTAATTACACAATGTCGACGGATTTTCCGTTATTTCCTGATCATGACGAGGAGTACTCGGCGGTTGTGATAAGTCGACAGAGGATGCTCACTCCTTTATGGCATCTGATCCCACCTCTAATATTTTGGAGGTCCGTGTTTGCTCTTCTCCAATTTTGTACTGATTAATGAACTTTTGAGCTTGAATACTGTTCGTTATCTCCATGTACAGCTCCACACACTTTTTAAGCTCACATGGTTTTTCGCACAAATTGAGGTCACATTCTTCTAGCCATTAAGCTTTAACATTACCGAACTTAATTACAAGACATTAGCCAAATATGTATTATATCTTCATTGCGAAGGTACAAAATCTTTAAAATCAGTATCTCAAGTTTCAAAGTTGATATGTTAAAGTGGACTTTATAGAATATATCGCATGATTTACATCTGTATGATTCTACCATAAGTATTCACAAATTAAGTTTATCGATCTTTCTTTAATACTATGTATCTGAAATTTTCAAAATGACTTCTTAAATATCAATAAATTTCTGAGTACTTTGCACATTTGCCATACTCGTCTTGGTTTTGTCAAAATGTGGAGTCGAAAAATGAAAATGCTGCCTAAAGAAAATATGCTAAAAGATGGAATACCGAAGTATGATTTAGCCCTTAAATTAGTAAATTGTTACTATTGAATAGAATATTATTTTACATTTAGGGTCTGAAACTTTCAAATTTTGCGATGTGGCGTATTTTTCATTATGCAAGATTGCAAAGGTGTAAAACAGTCGAACAGATGAAAATTACTGTTATCATTTTGCGCTTTAAATAGAGTCGTTAATTGCATGGAAATACTCAAGTTACATAAGCTGAACTGTTTATGTGTCTACACTGTAAAAATTGTGTTTAGGATTTAAACACTTCCATGACGTGTTTAGATCTAAATGTTTAACAACTAAACACTTATGTCTTAACATGTTTTATATCTAAACGTGTTTAGAAATTAAACACGTTCTGCTGTAAAATGCAGAGTTATCTTCCCGGAAATGACACAAATACTCCTATATTTGAACGTTAATTTGAGCGGCCATCGAAACAAAGTAAATCACAAAAGGCTTAAGGGACGTATTAAGGAGAGATACTGACAACCCCACGGAAAACCCTGAAGAAATATTGAAAATCATTTGAAAGGCACCTTTTTACTGCAATATATTAAAGGTATGTTTTCTTTTTATTAAGATTTGCGTTATTAAACCACGATGAGCAATGTAAACAGTGCCTCTGAGGTCGTGTATAGACTTGTAGGAGAGGAGGTTACATTGAATTCCATTAACAATAACTATTTTAATTCAAGTATAGTTCCAATGCAACTTTAAAAATTGATGTCAATGGGCAGCATATGTACTTTACTTAAATCTGACTTTCTTTCCTACAGGTTATGTGAGTAGTCCGGATTGAACTCAAAGCATGTATGTATCAAACTACCTGCATCTGTGCATGGCGTCATCTTGAAGTGCAAATTGTTGTTCCGTGATCAACATTAAGAAACGTATTTTTAAGAAGTGTATTGGGTTATCCTTAATTCAACAATGTTCGGTGGATTTGAATACATGAACCTAAAGTTATCATTTTGTGATTATCCTCGTGCATTTGAAATGGATTACAATTTGGCAATTTAATACTGATGGGATATTATATCACGTGGTGCTATATGTAGTGCTTTAGGACTTCTGAATGTTATCAAGTTTGAAATTTTGATGACTGACATATGAAACACTCTGCAACCGATTGACACTGTAATTAATCAAAAGTATCTACATATCTAAACAATCAGAGGCCTTATGATGAATAATTTATATCGGTTAATATTTTGAAAATTATGACAATATTATGTGTATTAAGTAATATGCTCTTTGTGCCAAAATTTACAAGTGTTTATATATGTAGTTTTTCTGCAGTTACACTTGTTTTAATATGTTAAATCTAGATATTTGTAATTTCTAAGCACATTATTAAGAAATGTGTTTAAAATTCAAACACTTTTCTAAGCACTTTCTTGTCACCTTCTTTTTTATATGTTTAATTCCTAAACATGTAAAATTTCTAAACATGTATGAGAAAGTGTTTAGAATCTAAACACTTATGTGCTTCCATTCTAAACACTTTCTCATACGTGTTTAGAAACTAAACATGTTTAGAAATTAAACATATAAAAAAGAAGGTGACAAGAAAGTGCTTAGAAAAGTGTTTGAATTCTAAACACATTTCTTACAGTGTAGACAAAGCAAAGGACTGCTTGCAAAAGAACAGATACAAAGACGGCAGCATTGAACAAAAAACCATAAAAAACCATTTGAGAACCATCAGAATCCATCAGTCTATTTTGAGCATGTCAAAAATCTTACCAATTTAATTGAGTGAATTAAGTCTTAAGTAAGTGAAATAAAAAAAATTTAGTTAAAAATCATTTTAAAGATATATTTTATTACACAAATTGGCATTGTAACAATGTGACCTTAATTTATGCGAATAATCACGTGAGTTTAAGAAGTGTAGGGAGCTGTATTTCATTGTCAGTAATCTGCCTCATTTTAGAAGATATGGGAGATATATCGAATCAACTTGGAGACATAAACCTCACATGCAGGTGATGAATGTATTGCTGCATAAGTAAGGGAAGTTGACGATAGAAAAGTGAAGTCATCAAGTTTATCATGAAGGTTTGCCATTAATTTCTTCCTTGTAAAACATCCAAATATGAAACAGAAATTTTAATTCAATTTTGTTGGTCGGATTGTTACAATTTTTTTTAATAAAAATATTAAGAACTGAGATATAATTTTGAAGAGCTACCTCCTTAGAAAAGAAAACTATCGGTATTGGAAAAAATCAAAAGGAAGAAGCTATTTGTTACAGTTATGAAAATACTTTCCTTTTGATTTCAAAATTAATCCAGGAAATGAAGATAAGATAAAATAATTAAAACTTTAATGTTTGTGTTCATGCCGGAACTTATTTTGGTCGAATATGATTTAAAGCATTAAAATTCCAAGCTTTATTTAATTTAGCATTTTCTGCTTTAATAATTGGAAAAATAAGAATGAATTGAGAAGTTGTTAGAAATGCATCCGTATTAGCACTTGCTAATTCAAGGAATGTCATATTCGGGAAGAAGAGCTTAAATTTAAATCAAATAAATTGTACTATTAATAAACTTAGGAAATTTTAAATTTTCAAAACATATCCTTATTTTCCTTAAAATCAAGGAAACTTTATAGATGTATTTTCGTTTATATTTTTCAAGTAATATTTATTTTCTTTCAAATGAAATGCTTTTTCCATCTTTAAAATATCATTTTTTATGAATCTGAACTCCAACGAGTATTAAATTACCCTTTTAAGTGTACAGAGTATATTTTCATATTTGTTAAATCCAACCAATGGGTTGTAACATTGAATATATTGTCGAAGCTTATTGAGCTATAAACACAATTTTGACGTTTCGGCTGATTCATGCAAATATAAACAAGGATATAAGTAAAGATGCTTTCTTTAATTCGTACAATGATCACAATGGGATAAGATACTTCATCTGAAAGACCGGTCAGAAGAAGATGCTCACTTCTCCGTGACATTTTATCCTACCTCTGATGTTCTGGAGGTTCATGTATGCTCCTCTCCTATTTTGTAATGTTTCTTGGACTTTTAATGGGCTGAATATTCGTTATCTCAACTTATTTCATAGATAAAGAACTTTTCTTCTAAATAGGACCCAAGTGTGATTCATTATCAACAAGCCCAGTCCAATCAGAAATCCCTTAGTGTAATATGCTTGCGGGACCATGCCCATTGCTGTCGTTTATGTCCAAGTGATGTTATGTCCAATGGACCATTGCTGTTTCTCTTGTTATCAATGTCCTACCAGATTGTCCCTCGGAGTGATCAATAGCAAGACTGTGAGCGGATGATTGAGATCCCTGTTGGGTACTCAGAAAGGAAGAGAATGTCATCAAGCTTCAAGAAGACCTTGAAAATCTATTGTATAAAGGAAGGCAACTGGCTAATGGATTTTAACCCTAAGAAATGTCAAGTTCTACATGTCACAAAAGGAAGCGTGTAGAACACCCACCGACACATCCTCCAAATGGTTGACTCTGTCAAGTATCTTTGAGGTAATATCCACAAGAGCTTGAAATGGACTCAGTATAACAACCAGATCAACGAATGAGAACTTTTTGCAGCATGACATCAAAAAAGTCCTAATAAGACCAATCCCCATCTTATATAAGATACTAGGGACCCACATAATGTAGACATCAGCAAGCTGCAGTTGGTACACCAGAGACCTGTCCGAATAGTACATAATGGCTATAGAACAACTTTGCAGCTTCTCCAACATGATCTCAGACCAACTGGTACATATTACAGGGGTGAAGGGAGAAGCAAAGGTCATGGTGATAAACAGATTGTTTAGATTCAAGGGCCATCGAATTTTAAACTTTTGAACTTACTGGATATAACTCTTTTAATAACTAAAGATGTCTTTGCACCACAGTAAAATATATGTCTTTAGAATTTCAAATTTTATTTAAATATCATTAAATTGTTTCTTTCAAAGTGCGTATATATTTTCTATTTGATTCTACATTTTTACACTTTATAAAAGACCTTATCAATGAGAAAAGGGCATTCACAATCAAAAGTGCCAAATACTTATATTGAAGTATTGAAGCGAGAGACGTGTCAAAAGTAGTTCCGACCAGTAGTGTTGAATAATTAAAGTTTTATCCATTTAATAAATGCAATATCCACAATGGGTATATATAAATACATATCTTACGTTTGTTGCAATGAGAGCCTTTCCATCCTGAAGCACATCCTCTGTCACATCTCCCTGTCACGTGATTACAGATGTCGCTGTATCTGCAGTTTCCGGAGCAGCTTAATTTGCACTCAAGTCCATACCACCCGGAGGGACAAGCTGATTGTTTTCAAATTATTTTGAAATAATGGAAGTGAAAAGATTTTGAAAGCATCTTATATCAAGTAACGTTGATAGTACTCTAAATTTATGTCCATTTTCTAAAATATTTGTGCATTATTCGATTATCGCAATTGATATATAATTCTTAGAATTCCACCTACCTTGATTACACTTCGATCCTGACCATCCTTCTGTACACCCAAGACAATTGCCGTTAACTATGTCGCATCTCCGGCCTTGACATTTGGTCGGACAGTTGATATCACAGCTATATCCATATACACCTGTTCGATAACAACCTGCAATTACAACATATAATATTAAGGTAGTCCGATCCTCAGGTTCATAAAATTAACAGTAAAGTAATTTCAGGTGAGCTAAATTATAGCAAGGGTGAAATTCACGGGATGTACAGAAAGGTATGTAACACAAGAGTTAACATACCTCGCACAACTACGTCACATAACTCTGTTAGAGCGGGGTTTTCATATCTTGACGAAGAATAAAATTTCTGGTCCATTCGTTCG